GGGCCAGCGGCGCAGTGGGGGGAGACGGGGTCAGACTCACCCCCAGCACGTCGGCCGTGAGCTCATCGAGGTTCTGTGCGCTCTCTGGTACAGACTCATCCGTCCCCACTGGCTCTTTTTTCTGCAGGGGGGGAGGAAAAAGAAAAGCCAGCAGGGTTAAAGCGTAAAGCTCGAGGGTAAAAATATTCCTCAATGAGGTGAGCGCGGGGCCTGGAGAGCAGAGACCTGGGGGAGGTGTCACCAGTTAGTAACAGTCCCACCAGTAAATCCCTGCCAGGATGGCCTGCCCCCGTGCCTCACCTTCATCTTGTCTCCGATCGTTCTGCTGCACAGGTTCTTCAGCTTGTTCAAGTTATCGGCACGAAACCTGCCTGGAAAGCAGAGGGGAGGGAGCCATCAGCCAGCTGCACGAGGGGGACCGGGGCTGGGATCCCCGGCCGGCACGAAGTGGGGCCGTGAACCCCAAGGCAGGGGCAGGGGAGGAGCTGGCAGCTCCAGGGGTGCCCAGCGCCGATGGCCCCGGACCTTTCGGAAGGAGAGGGGAGGGCTTGGTGGTGTGAGAGCACGCTGTGGGGCCGGCCATGACGTGGGGCAGAGGCACGGGGAGCAGAGGGCTCCCACGCAGGGGTGTCCTTTGGAAACACCCAAGTGACGCCGCACCGGGCCATCGAGACAAGGCAGGACCCCCACGCCTGGCTGAGGATGCTGAAGGCTGAGCGGATCCAGGGCCCGGGGGCTACAGCGATGAGATTCGGGCTGTTCGCTGAGGGGACCGGGGAGGACCCCCTTGGTGACACTGGGGCTGGGAAGGGTAGAGCCTAGGACACAACCATCCCCTCCTGGCAGGGCAGCCCAAATCAGAGACGCACCAACACCAGGGAGCATCTCTCCTACGAGGAGAAGCTGAGGGAGCTGGTCGGTGGCCCGCACAGTCAGCACCTCGTAGCCCACCTCCAGGTTCTCCCGCACGCTCTCCCGGTACTCGAGCTGCTCGAAGGCTGGGTCGTGGTCGTTGGCGTCGCTCACCGTCACCGTCAAGGTGGCCATGGCGCTGCGCCGGGGCGTCCCGTGGTCCTGCGCTGTCACCCGGAAGACGTGGGTGCTCTTGCTCTCCCGGTCCAGGGGTGCGGCGGTGGTGACGGCGCC